GAAAATTCCAGCGGTTTTAAATGTGTGTGTGTGTGTGTGTGTGTGTGTGTGCGCGCGCATACATATGGAAAAGACTTTTGCAAACATTCGTAAAGGTGTCTTATCTTTTTTAACATCTGGGAAAAAAGGCCAGAAAACGTTTTATTTAGTTCGGAGATAGACTGACACACACACACATACACACACACACACAGACACACACACACAGACACACATGTGTGTGTGTTGGTATGTATATTGTAGTTTTTCTAGAAAAATCTCCATAATCAAGCGAAGGGTCTTGAGTTAGACTTGGGGAACTAAGAGGCTGATATGGCACATATGGCGGGCAGGCGCATCCTGTTGGGAGAGCCCTGCTCCTCTCTCTGGCTATGGCAGCAGGACCCAGACCTCCCCAACGCGGTTGTTTGGGAAGCTGTCCTGACTTGCAGTCCAAGCTGGTGGGGGAGAGAAAGCCTTTACCATTAAATGTGGAGTCCCATCAGACCAGACAGCGGAAGTCTGGACTGCCCCCAAACAGTGCACTGCAGTGTGGTCTGCCTGGATCCAGGGCAGTGCAGTAAGATCCTTTGGACCAGCCAGCTCCCCTGGTGCCTTTAGGATGTGGCTAGATTTATAAATATTTGATTGGCACACACTCTGCTGAAGAACATTTCCATCTGTGTGGTGAGTGGTGCCGAGGATCCTCCCCCGACACAGCCTCCTTCCTACGTGCTTGGGAGGCTAGGGGCCGTAGGCTCCACAAGGAGGCTGAAAATTCGGGATGCTTAGGAGGGAGTGTGCCATTCCTCTCTAGCTGCCGTTCCAGCTGTTGACTTGATGGAAGTGTAAGCCCCTACATGCCTTCTCCAGAGAGGAAACTCCAGCAGAAGGAGCAGACAGGCATAGGACTCTTTGCCTTTGCTCCAGTGTCTCTGTCTCGGGGAAGTTAGATGGGAAGGGTGTGCTGGGCTAGGGCCTGGGAAGCTGTGACTCTATGCCAGGTCTCAGGAGCTCAGGCTAGACAGTCTCGGGGAAGATGGGATGGAGTCACCAGCAGTTCTGTGAACGAGCTTAACATTTAATGGCCAGCTATCAGCTAGGTTGGATGGGGAGGCACAGCTAGCCTGCGGAGGGGACGATGGTGACCTTGGAGAATGACACTGTTTTGAACATTCAGGGGCCTGGCAGTGTGCTGGACATGTGTAGAAACATCACCTTTCACAGCCTGACTTTCCTAAGAGGCAGAGAACTGTTGGGATTCTTGTTTTTTAAACAAAGAAACCTAGGCGCATAGAGGAAAAGTAACTACCACAAAATGTCACAGATTCAGTAAACACAGTCAGGGGACGTCAACCTCCTTTTTCCTATCTGAGCCACGTGATAGGCTGAACATGCCAATGTATTTAGTTTGTGGGTAGAAATGCTGTTGTCAGGATGTTAGCATCAGGGTGGTGGTGGGATCCTCAGATAATTCTATTAGAACAGAAGAACTTAGGCTCCACAAGCTGCCCCTGTGAGGGGCCTGGTCAGCGCAATGGTGACTAGTGACCTCAGAGGATTGCAGGTGGAGATGACCATCTGTGCAGGGCCTGGCATGTGCCAGTGCTTGACAGGTACTTCTTGAGATAGTGTTGGGTTTAAATTTATCTGCCAACAATACAAGTCAGCCGCTCATCAAATTAATGCTTACTGGGCACTGAGCCAAGTGCTGGGCAAAGTCACAGTGTCGGCCACCAAGACACAAAGTCCTTGTCCTCAGGGGCCTGTGGGGGGGAGAAGTCCAGTCCATGACCACATGAGTGAACACAGAAGTGTAGTCCCAAGGAGAGGGGCACAGATCTGTGACACCTTTTACCTACTCCGTGTCCAACATGAACGGGCCACCTCCCCTGCTCCGCGGCTCTCCCTAGACTCTCTCAGTCTCTCAGGGCTGGCACCCAGTTATCAAAAGCTTTCTTTTCACAAGCTGCATCCCCAGGGGCTCCAGAATCAGTAGCCCTCCCTCACTGTCTGTCTGTCTGTTTCTATTGTGGTTACTATGACATTGTAACTAGTGTTTGCATCATGTACGGACCATTGCCCAGAGCTGTGACCCAAGCTTTGGTGAAGGCACAAGCCCCTGAACCCCTGTCTCTACAGGAATCTGGTAGAGACATTTTACTTCAGTCTATTTTGGGATCGCCAGTGCACAGTGTCCCCCAGAGGCTGCTACCACGGGTAAGATACCTGGAAACTGTTTCTCCCGAGGAAGGGTAAGACAGACAAATCAGAATAATTTCCCCACTCTGGGACAGCTTGTCAATCATTGAGGACAAAGAGACACTATGAAAGGAATGAACTTCTGTCTTGTGAGGTCTGAGGCAAGTTCTGTCTTGTGGGGTTTATGAATTACCTAAGTATCTCACTGACTTTTAAGGGCCCTCTTTCTTCAGGAGACTTTGGGGTGCGGCGGTGGCTGTCATGCTCAGACCAATGGTTAAAGAATAGTACTTCTAAGCTGGGCTGTGATGGCACAGGCCTTTATTTAACCCCAGCACTCGAGAGGCAGAAGGAGGTGGATCTCTGAGTTCGAGACCAGCCTGGTCTATAGAGCGAGTTCCAGGACAGTCAGGGCTACACAGAGAAAACCTGTCTCAAAAAGAAAACAAACAAACAAAAACCGTGTGGCAGATTGTGTGTGGATCATAACGGCTATCCAGGGCTTCTACTCTAAACTGCCCAAAGCTGCCTCTGCCTCTGAGGCCCGAGGTTCAAAACAGCAGTGCCACCGCTGGGCAGAAGAGGGCGACTGATCCACACTCAGGGAGATCGCCCATGCCCAGGAGGAGTGAGGCCAGCACTCCCATTCCAGGAGGAGGAAGAAGCTGAGTCTCAGTGAGATTAAAAGCCTGCCCAAAATTGGACCTCAGCGGATATCGGGGATTAGAAGAATCATTGGCATCGTTAGCATCTTTAGCAGAGTATTTCATGCAAAACAGAGAGACTATTTATTGTGTGCTTAGAAAGTGGCAGAGTAGGTCATGAACACCAACATTCCAGGGCCCTGACTGCAGAGGACAGGTGGATTGTCCATTGTGGTTTCAACTGGTACAGGGCAGATTGCTGCTTGTTTATCTTAGCACTGCCCCCTTGGCCCTTGTTCTTAGCTCCAGAGTAAGCAAACAGTAAGCTCATAGAACTGCTTTGAATGTTGGCAGAGAAGGCCGAATCTAGACTCTAGCCCTTCGTGGGTCTGAAGAAGCGCCTTAGTCTCCCATTGCACGTCCATACACTGCAGCAAGTCTAGAGATGCAGGATGCTAACAGTAACATTGGCTGCTGGCATGTACTGGGCCATTACCCTGGGCCAGGCAGGCGCTGTGTCCAGAATGTTTGCTATGTTATTCATTTAACTCTCTCATGAAGCCTGTAATCGGTATTCTCGTTTCTTTTTAAGCAGAAAAATAAAGCATAAGTGTGCTCAAGTTCACACAGCAGATATCCCAGCACCCCTTGGGTGCCCACTTCCTTACAGCTCTCCTACTGAGCTATGCTGAGTTCCCAGGGCTTCTGACAGCTTAAGCCGGTAGGTCGGTGCCACCACAAGCTGTCCCAATGTTATGCACCCAGAGACATCCTATGTGGCTAATGACAAATGAGCAGCGGGAAGGCACATGACATTTGTCCAACAATCCAGTAACTGTAGCCTCTTGTTCCCCTGAAGCTTAAGATTTCCAAGAACCAGGCAAGCCTCAAGAAACATGTCACCAGTGATCATCACCTTTGGTTTGGATCTTGGGGACTAGAATATCCCCCATTAGTGCAGGAAACTGATAGGGTTTACAAACATTTAAAACTCAGAGAAGTTAAGGCTTGTTCCCCTGGGTTGTGTGGGTGAACACATGAATTGTATAACATGCCTGATACAATGAGATAAAGTCTAAGTTCATTTGTGAGATGGGGTCTCTATTCTACGCCCGGCTCCAACTGTGTAGCTGGAGGATGACTTTGCTTCTGCTTATTCTCCCCTCTACCTCCCAAGTGCTGAGCTTAGAGATGTATAACGGCATATCCAGCTTGTATTTGGTGAGGCCTCCTATGCTAGGCAAGCACTCTATCAACCAGACTACAGACTCAGCCCAAACTTGCTTACTCTCCTGTGTGTCTTGACTCTTGAGATTGCCAGTCCTCTATGCAGGGAGCAGATCAGACTTCCCTGCACCATCTACTACCCTAGTGGTACTCAGGGACTCCCTGACTCTTGTAGAAAGCAGACACTTAATATCATATGCACACACACACACACACACACACACACACCAGCGCTAGACAGTACTGGTCGGGAAGATTATTTTCCCTAAGCCACACCTCCATTTATCAACATTGTCGGAAAGCCAGGCTGCTGGGAAAGCCCGGAATTGTCAGCCTCTCACTCTGTGGCTCCCACCTCTGGCTCCATTAGTGTCTGGAGAATGACTTGACCCCTCCCCTTCTGCATACCACAGCCACATCTGCACAAGGCGCTGCGGGGAAAACTGCATAATTTATGATGTGTTAGGCTGTGCTTAGAGACGGGGGATGCTCAAATCAAGCCCGGTGGAGACATCACCTGGAGAGTCTGTTAACGTGAAATGGAGCCCCTATCTTTGTACAGGATTTCCCGTCCCTAACCGTTGGGTTCTTCCCGTTGTGGACAAGCAGGCCCTTGTCTGTCTTACGGGGCCGGATCTTTTGTTAGTTTATAGAAACCTGGGGAGGGGTGTGCAATGACTGAACCAAAGCCAATGTTATGTCAGGTCAACAGAGAGTCCTTCAAAAGCTTGCAATAAGATATAATTAGCTAAGTGTTAGCCCGTAGGTCCCTGGCTTCCAAAAGCCAGCCCCTTTGTACATGTACATGTATGTTATCTCACTTCTGAATGCATTCTGCCTACACACAGAGCCTCGGAAAGTGGGTACCAGTACCCAGTCTCATCGTCTTCCCATGCTGGACTAGGGGAGACACAGGAAAGTGCTGGTGCAATTTGGATAGTTGCTTACTGTGCTGGTCACTTCTGTCCCTTGTCCCATCCACTGTCCCATCTGGAAGGATCCTCAAGAAGTGGCCCCCGTTGCTGCAGTAGAGAAGTTTGGGTTTCTTGTAGTTTCCTGCAGGCAGATCAAACCTCTCGGTCAGGGCTGTGAAGGTGGTGATTTCTCCTTCAGCCATGGCTCAGCAGCAACCGGTGGCGGAACTCTCAGGACTGAAAGAAATGAAACACACCTGTAGAATGTTCTTTCGGTGAAGGTATGGTGGACATATTCAGGAAGGGAAGGACCACGCAGGGCCACAGACTGCTCAGGTGGTACCCAAGGTGGATGGGCCCGTGAGGAGGCTGGCGGTAGAAGAGGGGTGGTCCCTTGCCTGGGAGACATTTTTTCAGACAATTCTCTCTTCCAAATTGGATACAACTTTGCAACAAGCTGGATCGATCTATCTATCTTTCTTTCTTTCTTTCTTTTTTTTAGAACTTCAAATTTAATCATTTGGCCAATAGGAAAAACATTGTCCTGGTCCCTCCTTCTGATCCACACACATCCTCAAATTAAATACTGTAAGTTGTACTAAAATAACACCTGGGGTCTGGCTGAAACCCACACAAGCAAAGAGGGCGGGGCTGAGGTTCTGCCTTCCACCCTCACACTGTTTTGACTAGGTACTACCAAGCCAGAGGAGGGCAAGGTGCAGAGATGGCCTGGGCAAAAGGGCACCTGTGAGCCAAGGGTACAGCAGAGGTAACAAGGGGTTAATATATGGCGACCTTCTAAATTTGCTGGAGGAAGGGATGAGGGCAGAGAGAGGGGCCTGGGCATTTTTAAAGAGCAAGTACTGCAGCCAGGACACCTTCTGAGACAGCATCTTGAAGGCTGTCTGACCCCTGGTTTCATAGTCTTCCACAAGACCCTCTTATCACACATTTCATCAGGTCTGTCCCTGTACCCAGACCATCTTCATCTTAATTATTTCCTAATATGAGATGCACTTACAACACAGAGCCTATAATAATATTTTATAGACCTCTGACATTATATATATATATGTATATATATATATATCCACTCTATGGAAATTCCTACTAGTGTAAAATGTATCAAGCATTGACACTCGGGATTTGAGAATAAAATCAATGAAAGTCTTAATTTTGAGCCATACATTTGCCCAACCGTTTAGAAAAAGAAAGTTCTAATAACTACAAAAACAGTGAAAGTTGTTTGCTTTTGCTTTTTTGAGACAGGGTTTTTTGTGTAGCCTTGACTGTTCTGGAACTAGCTCTGTAGACCAGACTGGCCTTGAACTCATAGAGATCCACCTGCTTCTGCCTCCCAAGTCCTGAGATTAAAGGCATATGATACTACTGCCCAGATTTTAATCATATATGTGTGTGCATGTATGTGTATACATGTATGTATTATAAAATGAAATTGTTTTATAGCAACAATGATCATCATCACCAACAACATATTCTGTGCTGAAAGATAATATTTGTTAACTGATCCTTTAATGTGGATGCTGAAACTCCTATTAAAAATTAAATCAGAGCTTAGAGGCGGTAAATTGTCTGCGCAAGGTCAACAACAAGAAGCTAAGGCTCAGAATGAGTCAGTGAACACAAAGCCCCATTTTGCCCTTAATTACTATGAGAAGGTTACACAAGTTCAATGATATGGAAGTGCTGTGACCAGAAGTGGGGGTTTTACCCATTGTACCAAATTACACCTGCCTTTATAAACTTGTTTTTCAGCCTTCCATCATGGTCAGAATGCTAGTGATCTCCAATAACCTCCCCTGCACCTGTTCCCTGTGGTTACCTCTATAGCAGAATTCCACATAGCTGCTGAGGCCCAAAGAAACTCATGCTGGTAGCACCCTGAACTCCCAAGACTGGCCAGAGCCCCATGTTCCATGCCCTGGTCAGTCCTACATAAGCCCTCGTGGGAATCTGTTCAGTCGTAACCCAAAGCACCAATCTGGGGAACTTGTCTTTGTAACCAACAGGAATTAGGGCTCAAATTGGAAACATCCACCTTTTTTTCTCTATTGGTAGTTAGTATGTCTGGTATGTGCAGTCCCGCAGGTCAGATAGTGACTTCAGTTTCAGCTACTGTTTGGGAGGCCCCTGCAAGGACACCTCTCAAATTTCATATGTGTGTGTGTGTGTGTGTGTGTGTGTGTGTGTGTGTGTATGTGTGTATGCGTGTGTGTTATTACATTCAAAGTCAGACTATCACAAACAGCCCCTCAACACATGGTTCCACATTGTTCTTGCCATATAAGACAGTGAGAGACGGATAATGTTATTTATATTAGCTGCAGAGTGATAATTTACCTTGTATAGCACATTGTGCTTTTCGTCCAAATTCTCAATATTTTCCAAGAATCACCCTTTCACCTCAAGCCTCTGGTCTTTCTGCTAACTTCCATCTCCTCTCTCTTTAGCTGCCCACCCTTGCCCGTTCCTTACTCAACTTCTTTCTGAATCACTTGATTTTTTTTTTCCCTGAGAAGTGCTGGAAATAGAGTTTCCTGCGTTCTAATTTGTTGTTGTTTTTCAAGACAGGCTTTCTGTGTAACCTTGGCTGTCCTGGAACTTACTTTGTAGACCAGGCTGGCCGCAAACTTATAGAGATTCACTTAATTCTGCTTCCTGGGTGCTGGAATTAAAGGCATTCCCTACCACTGCTCAGCTCCGTACCACTGACTGCACCCTGACTCTCTGGATCCCCTCTGATGAAAAGCAATGTAGCTGTTTCAAGTGAGACTAACTTCATGTGTCGCTCCATTAGCTCACAGATTCCCCTTCTTAACAGCGCAACTAAGAGATCGTATATTTTTTCATTTATTTTTATCCCCAGTACTTCCTAAGCTGCACATTTAATTTGCTATGCAGGAAACAATAGCTGCAGTCTAATGGCTACCACTGGAATTGGCAACCTTAGGAGAGCAGAACTTTCTTGTTGTCTCAGGGTCTCCTCCCGCGGTGGTTTCTGATTGCATTTCCCATACTTCCTAAGTTGTGTATTTAATTTGCTATACAGGAAACAATAACCGCACTCTAATGGCTACCGTTAGTATTGCCAGTCTTAGGAGAGCAGAACTTCCTTGTCTCAGGGTCTCCCCCAGTGGCAGTTTTTATGTTTGCATTTCCTCTGATGTGGGCCAGCTGCTTGTCAAGGATGGGCTTCCCTTTTCAGTCCCAGCCAGGTTGTTTGCTAAGTGCTGGGCATGGATTTGGCGCTACCTGCCTGTATTCTCGCCTCCTCCAACTGGGATAAAACTGAATAGATACAGCAGAAAGCTGGATGGGGTTGGAGGTACCAGCACTGGCTAAGGGTGATACCAATGTTCTCATTTACATGTGGGTATAAGCCAGGCAGTCTGGATGTCATCCTCTCAGAACCTTCATCACCAACTCGTGACCTTGGCCAGTCCCAGCAGGCTCTCAGGGGTTCTTCTTTCTGAAGCAGAGTGAGAGCTGAGGTGTGTAAGACCACACCTCTATTCTCTGCCTGCTCATCTCGTGAGTGGGATCGTCGTGGGATGGCTGCACTATTCGGATGCTTCCCTCTACGAAGCCTTCAGTTCACATTTCCTCCTGAATCCCGAAAGCCTCATGTCAACACCTTCAAATCAGCCTGGCATCGCAATGGAGCTGACAGCCATGGCAGCTGGATTTGTGAATCAGCTGAAGCCTGGTGGGAGGGGCACGAAAACCTCTTATTTTTGTTTGTTTGGTTTTCGTTTTTCAAGACAGGGTTTCTCTGTACGTAGCTCTGGCTGTCCTGGAACTTGTTCAAAGACAAGGAACTGGCCTCAGACTCACAGAGATCCGCCTGCCTCTATCTCCTGAGTGTTAGAGTTAAAGGCATGCACTACCACCACCACCAGGAAAATTCCTTATTTTTAATTTTCTTTACTATTTACTTATGATTTGAGAAGTAGACAGTTCAGAATTCTTGGACCAATCCCTAGTTTGCTAAGGGATATGAATAAAGGAAGTATATGGTGTGGCAAAACCTTAAGGCAGCAACCTTAACAAGTGTCCCTGGGGATTTATACGGATTGCTCTCATAAATGAATCAATTAACTAAGTGTAATCAGGCATTAAACATAATGTGGATTTTCTAGCCCTGCTTTTTGTTACCAATTGTCTGTCTTAGTGGCCATCTGGAGAGGGGATTTTCCGTGTGGGAGACAGAGAAGAGCAAGTCCAATGGACTCCCTCTCATCGGTCCGCACCAAGTCAGCTCCTGGATTTAGGATGCTGGTGCAATTTTTGAAAGTCAGATGATTTTCTTGGTTTCTCAGTGGCACAGAAGTGAGAGGAATACTCAGCCTATTGGAACGTCCACGTTAAAAGCTGACGAACTCGCTTAGCTGTGGCCACTGGACCAGACACATGGAACAGTGGGAGACTTATACCCTAGCCTGGGAGCTCAAGTCATTTCCCATGTGGGGAAACAAGCATCTACTGCACAGCCCTGGGCATACCCAGATGGGAACATGGATGTGCCACCCACTCTGGACGTGCTTCCTCTAGTGATCCCTACTCCACCTACCACACAGAATCCTTTGAAGGGTTAAACAAACGCAAAATTCAAAAAGCACAAGGGAAGTATAAAAATATAGCCCAACTTCTTAGAGATAAGAGCACATGATTATATTAGACTAGTTGAAGCCAGGTATGGTGTGGGTCAGCTTAATTTAAGTGAGTTATTTTTATTCTCTTCCCCGTGTGGCATAAGAAGCTCAGCTTCTTTTATTAAATCGCAAAGATGAGAACAGAGTAGTTGAAGGAGGCAAAGATCAAGCTATTGCTGCAGACTCAGGTATGGACAGATGTGTGGACAGGTGTGGAATTGACTCAGGAATCCTGATGCTCCCAGATGTGCGGACAGGTGTGGAAGTGACTCGGGAATCCTAATGTTCCCAGGAGGCGTTGATGTGTGGCTCAGGTGACTGCTGAGGAGAAAGACTCGTGGTTCTGAGAACCAAGGGCAGACAAACATTGGCACCTATAGGTTGGTTTTAATGCCTATTGCTGTTTATGCAACAGAGAACTATTCATGTAGAAAGGCAAACTGCATACAGACATTGAAGATAGTGGGTTTAGACCCAGCATGTGTAAAACAGGGCTTAGCTCCAGTTCTAAACAATGTCCACATCTCTATGAATGAATCCCTTCCTACTACCTCCAGAAATGTT